CCTAAGTCATGAAGTGATATACTCCCTAGTGTAGGTATTAAGTATCCCAAGATACAAGTGAGATAGGTATACTATAATTATGGCAAAAATGGGATTCATTGCAGTACGTACGGCTATTTCACAATTATCTCATGAAACTTGGTACGTATATGATCTATGCATAATAATTACTCAATTTCTACCTATATCTCAAAAACCAATTGCATCCCAAGTGCCTGGGACTGAAATTCAAGCATACCAATTGCCTAATCATACTATTTCATTGAAATTAGGTACATAGATACTCTGGGAACACGATTAGTTTAATGTTGAAAACCATGCATATTGATTATCTAATCAAAAATTCAGATTTAAATTAAACTTGTGGTAGAGATGCTCTAAAATGAAATTTATAAAGTTCAATAAAAGTGCATCTTCTTTTGGAGAACACTCACAGGTCAGTTGTGCTATTATTAGACACAGTTTATTACCACACTTGCAGGTCAAGGAAATTGTTGTTTTAGAGAGACTTTCTGAATATTTTCAGTTATTTTACATTTGTACTGAGAAATTCTTCAGTTGAGGTCACTAATAAAAATAAATTGCTTTAGGTCTATGAAACAGTGTTTATTCTCTACATATGAATGGTAATGTATATCACTGCATATGCAAGATATTCAGTCAGTAAGTCATGTACCATATCTTAATTGTCGTGTTCTTTTTTTCAGACATTGCACAACTGAGAAAGAGATTTGAAGAGGACAAGGAAAAGATTGTCGCAATGAAAGCTGCGAGAAAATTCAAACCGTATTGAGCTATTTTTTTATTACAAATTCTTAATAAATACATGTATATGTATCACAGTTTTTGTTTTTATCCAATTCAGAAGTATCATTGTAATACTGGTAAACAAAACTAAAATTTGTCATCCATTTTGACTTACTGTAAAATCTATATTAGAAGCCGCGGCTTCTATTAGAATGGTACAATGCAACAGATAGAATGCGGCTTCTAATACAGATTTTACGGTATAACCTCAAGTGTAGAATGAGATTCGACAATACATGAAATCGTTTTTTTTTTTACAGGCGCCTCCAATAGAGCAAATACTCCAATAGGAGTAAAAAAAGAATTACAAAGATCTGTTTTCCAGTTCAGTTTGTCATGTTATATATAGGATACACTATCACCCCTAAACTAGATATCTTCCAAATGCAATGAAATTCAATTACACAATGCATAAACATTGACCTTTCAGAATTTGTAGTCCTTGTTCTTATGAAATTTGCATACATAAATTGTGGCTATCCTCGAAGGTTTCCTGTTCATGGGTGGAGCAGGGTGTGGCCCATTGAGATTGACGTACTGCTATTTTATGGCTTCATCTGACCATCATTGGTTGGCTTAGTACTATCTGCAGCAACCTGTGAAAGATATGAATCATTAATTTTCTGAAAGTGATAACAAAAAAATATATCTATTTACAGATGTCTTCCTTACTTTGATAACGGGGGAGAATGGGATACTATTTGAGGGGCAAAAACAAGTTTGTGTAACATTTACATCTGATTTCTTTCACTAAATTACAATAACAAATGATTGAAAAAAACTGTCAACGAATGTGCTGCTCCGTTAGGGTTTGGTAGCCAATCAGGCAAGAGCTTCAAGTTAATTCCAATGAAGGCAATACATATTTGCATAAACATTTGGTCGATATGATCACTGGTATTATAACAGGGATGATTATTTCATGTTAATATATTTTTTCATTATACTCACCTCGTCTGTGGTAAACAAATACAGATGTCTTTTAAATGATCTGAAAGGAGAACAGAATTATAAATGTAACTGACTCAACACCGTCACAGGAACAGTGGTATGTCGCATTCACGACTTGATTAGCCCTTGTGAAAACTAAGAATGTATTTGCTCGCCATCCTTGTCACAAATGTGTCCATGGTAGCATCAACAGACAATAAGAAGGATGCGGAATCTTGTCGCATACGTATGAATCAAGAACTGTTTATTTATAGTTTCGTTGTTGGTTTTTTTAACATACAAAATAAAGGCAACCAACTCTAACCCCCCAATCCATTTTAAAGTCTAGGTCTTGATCTCTTTTATGTAGAAATTTGACTCATCATTTATGACAAGGAATACTTATTAGATCTATGTGAGCTACTCACCTTTAGTACAGACAAGACAGTGTGTGGAGAGCGCTAACTGTAATGACTGTGCCATCCGATCCACTGATATCTCTAACTGCCCCTGTTGACAATCTTTACTCCGGCACCTTTGGATGCTGTCAGCAATCTCCTTCATGTCTTGAAGACTGACAATTCCCCTTTGTATCAACAACGGGTCAATTCCGGGACTTTGCTGTACAGCCTTGTATGCAATCATAGCTTCTAATACCCCAAGGTGTAACTTAGAATACAGCTGACTGTTCTTTCCAGTTAGCTCTGTATTATCATGCATCATGTTCAGTGGGGCGAGTACACAACATGTTATTAGTCCTGGGATGGGCGTTCTCGCATCTGGATAATTTTGAGTTCTCTGAAATGATGGAATGTTTGGGAATTTGGGATAAAGACTTGATAAGCATAACAGCGGATAGTTGCTGACCCACTCAGTAATTACTTCTAGTAGCGTTATGGGTAATGACGACTGCTTTCCAAGACCTGCAATAAGATGAAAGGTGTTTAACGCATCGCCAGCTTAAAGCCACCATAGATAGGCAAAATAAATGGGATAAACAGCATCAGGTGGTGTGTTGAATTACCCTCACCTGAACTTTTAATCAAGCAAAGTCTAAATGTCACATGACTGCCATATTTTAATGATTATTAAAAGTATTGAAATGAACTCGCATATGTCAAGAATCAAATTTAAGGTGCAGGTTCGTGGGCACTTGGGAGCGAAATTTTTTTTTTGCTTTTTATTATCCTAATAGTCTTGGTTATAGACTGTTAAAATTTTGTAAAATTGTAAATAGTAGAACATACTCAAAAGATGATTTTAAAATATAGATAACAGGTGCAAACATCCTCTCTTTTGAATGCTTAGCAAGATTTAGCAAGGCTGTACAGAAATAATAAAAAAGAAACATGGTGAAAAAAAGAAATGACCGGATCTCCATATTATGCACTATATTTAACTTAACAGAACGATAATACATTTAAATTTGGAACTGTTACGGCCATTTTAAATATGAGCATTAGCAAACTTCTTACTGAGTGAATTGTTATGCAAATTAGCAATTATCTCAGCTTCTTTTTAGTGCACATCCCAGAACTTTAAAAAAAAAATAGCTCCTAGACGATTTGACCTTTTGTTTTTAAATTTTCACAAATGATTGACAATGTGTTTATCTTCAAAACGCCGTTGGGGCATTGTTTTTGGTTGAACAGTGTTACAACAATAGTACAGACAACTAGCCTGGGTGTTAATTTATGCATAAACTTGAAGTAGTGAAATTTGAGCTTCTGCCCTGCAAAATTGACAACTGGTAGACAGTTTTCAAGTCGGCACTTTCTTCATAGTAAACAGATGTACTCGTAAACCAATTCTGACAAGAAACAGAAGCATGGTTTAGAATTTTTTTTTTAAATCACTTTTGACCAAAAAAGCACTTTTTTGTGCATATTTCAAACTACAGTGACAATAAAAAAAAAATACTAACAAAATTTTAAAATTCATACAATAAGCTTTCCGAAAATATATAGTTTTGTGGACAAGGGAGGTCATCTTGGTTTCCTAATTAAAATACTTGTCAGGTAAACTGCATCTCTACCTTAAACTCAGCAAAGCTCTAATATGAATACAGAATATATGCAATCATTGTTTTATAAAAAAAAAATATCTAGAAGATTCAGCAGTCAGTGAAGTAGCAATGACCATATATATGTAGGTTAGGATCCTCAGCTTTAGGATGTTTAAAAACAAATAGAGCCAATGAGTTAACTACAGTACCCCTAAATCTTTAAAAATTAAAAAGAGTGGCTTATGAAAGTCCCCAAAAAGTCCCTGCTTTGTCCATACTGATCTTGGCAGTATAGGAAATGTTGACCCAGCTCTAATTATATCAGTCAGCCATTTCAAAATCAGTTGGTTTTCGCTAAAACTCCACTCACAAATAAGATTGCTTATTCTGGTATCATATTAAATTAAATAAATACAACAATGCCATCCTATGCAAACCATGTGACCCTGCACCCCGATACAAATTCAAATTGTGGTGTGAAACCTATAAGCAATCGCCTCGTACCTCATATACACTGAATCAAACCAACAAACGTAACAGCTTGATTACTTGTTAGAAACAAAGAAATGTGTTATCAATACCTGGTGTACCAGACAGAGCAGGTTTATAAAGAGCTGCAACAGCTGTCAAAAACTGACAAGCAAACAACGGTGATATTTCCACAAGGTTTTGTATAGCAGTTAATGATGCAGGCACTAGGATACAGTAATCATGTACGACAGCCGCAGCTAGGTTGATCACGGAGTGAGACAGATGCTGAAAGAATGAACAAAAACATTCGTTATTTTGGAGTTGTAAATGATGTCATAAATGATGTCATAAAGCATTAACCTTTCAACCATAAGACTTTCTCAACCAAATTTGTTGTGCACTATATTCTTCAATATTTCTTGAAATGAACCCTAATTTTGGAGCAAACAGACAAAATTTGGGTCAATTTTCAGTTTTTACTCAAAAACTTTGGCTATTTTTGTCCCAATCTTCTGAAGAATAGTGCAGACTATAAACATTACTATTTTGTGAATATGTGATGAAAAGAGGGAAATGGCGGTGAAAAGGTTAATACATCATTATTGTTAATTAATTACATTTGTACTGTCATTGTGCTTTGAACAATATATATGAACCATTCAAAACAAAATTCAACGTTAGAACCCCCCAATTCCAAGACTATCTCGCCCAAATTCAGATTAACAACACCCCCAAATCAAACTCCAAAATATCCAAGATCGTGTGTATCACAAGCTCACCTGTCGACTCATCCATACCGCTGTACAGTTCAACACAGACGTGCATTTCACAGCGACAGCCAATGAGACTAATTTATACAATAAATCTCTTTTGTAATCTTCTGATGGTCTACTGGAGGAAAAGCAGAACAGAGCATCGAAGACGGCGTTCTTGATGATTTCATTGGGTTGGTTTTCAAAATATCCGCATAAAAGTTCCAACAGTTGAAGTTCTTGGACTGCTGACAGCCGCTATAAAATTAATTGGAATAAGCAGCATGATGTTAAAATTACCAATTAAAGACAGCAAAAAAAACAAACATAAAAACCGAGACATGCAACTGTGGTGAACCATCAACAGAAATAGACTGGTGGTTCATACAACAATTGATATACTTCATCATGTTTAATTTCACTGCATGGGGTTCTGGGCAAAACTTCACACACCAGAGTGTTACACTTTCGTTTAACTTGTTTAATGTTCTCCAAATTGTTGTAGCACATTGTCAATCAAAGACCAGGAATTGAAAAAAGGAGGAAAAACATGTACAATAATAAGGTTATTATGATGATACCGCAATCAGTATGCAAGGATACTCTGACAGTATGTGGTCGCATCGACCTCTGGTATGCGACAGCCGATACTCCCGCTGTACTGTCTTTGTGCATACTTTGCAGTATCCTTGTGAAAAACTCATACCGGTATCATTATTATTAGGTCATTCAGACTATGGTAACGCTATAGTTTTCATAGTTGTAGCTCACATTTACTCATTTGATACATCAATGTTCAATTGGTTTACACAGATAGTCAAATACAACTATAAGATGATACACCATCACAATACCAGCGAATAAAACACGACACCTAAAAATAGTTACAATTAATTACTATCCATATTAAACATACAGGGTCTGGAGAAGTAAGGACTCACCTTTCTATAGTAATTTTGATTTGTCACACAACAAAATATAAACTCATCTATCAATCGAAGAACATTATCTCTGAAAGGCAGCAGTGGTTCTCTTTCATAGCGTGTGAAATATGTACTCAGCATTAACAATAAATCCTTGGCATTTTGGGGAAACTCAGTTCTGCTTAGTAATGACTGCAGCTCAAAAAGCGCACCAAATAAAGTGGGGTCACTGAAAGGACCTGTGTGTGAATAAGGACATTATTTAAAAAAAAATATTGTTGTTTTACCTAAATTGTAAACCTAATACAGCGTATATACCATCCATAGGTGATTTTCGTTCACTGCGAAATTTCACATATTGTGTATAAGGTAAAAACTGAATTGCTGCAGCAAACCTGGAATGATTCGATTTTGAACTTTTTTTATAGCTGATTGTCGAAATACCCTTATTTCATCAAAAGTGGCCACCAACTAATGTGTATGGTACATTATTAAGAGTGGAAAATACTTTCTAATTTGTTGAATCTTGTGCATCCAATTCCATGGATAACGTCGGATCCTTCAGAGACTGGTTTATTGGTCATATACATGTGTAGTTGGGTTTGTTTGGCCACATTCCAACTTGAGTAGGATTTCAGCAGAACTTGAACTTGAATTCTCACAAATAAATTGATAACATATACTGCATTTATTTGCGAACAAAACTCATCAACGAACTGATAAACTTGTAGAACTGACCCACAGTTGAGCACGAACTAAAACTGGAACACAACTACCATTTAACTTTTAAAAGGGAAATAGAACATTACGGCGTTTCCCACGCATACGGAGATTAACCAATCAGTGACTGCATTCTGAATCAATAATGGAATGTCAGTCAACACCTATGGCTTATTATGGTTTCAACGATAACATGACTACAACCGCGAACAATGCTATCATTTCATCTTCAGAAACAAACAACTGGTTCTTTCTAACCAGTCGCTGTGCACAAAATGTAAACAAGTCTATAGACTTTCACTATAATACTTCTGATGTTCTATTATAAATTATTTCTTAATACTTTGTATAGCTTGTTTTTTTTTTAGGAATATTTTTTGTGGAATCCATTTGTTACTGTAATTTTCATTCACACCAAACATTTTTAGTGAGATGATTATCCAAGCTCTTGAAGAAAGAAAACTGCATAGTCTAGTAAGTGACTAGAAAAGTCTATATTGTAAATATAACCATGGGCACTGCTTATTCGGCAAACACACATCAAATTTGAACTTGAGTTACTCTATTGGGTTTTTATGTACAAAGTGAAAGTGAAATTGCCCATCATTGCATGGCAATACACATAGTTTTTCTTTTTATTGAAACTAATTTGTAAGCAAATGTCTTTGTGTTATTATAATTTTCTGTCACCACGTTTAAAGACAAACACTACTATTTTTTCTGTGTATATCACGATCTGGAACTCTGAAAATAGTACTGTCCTCACAGAACTAATGACAAAGACACAGGCTTCAATGACGTAGAACAACCTGGGTATAAAAGTCATATTATCTGTTCAAAGGGGAATAACTTGGTTTGTGCATGTGATAAGGCTAGGCTCCCCATTCTCACACTTCATGAAATCATTAAAGGGCAGTGGTCATCGCACAGAATCGTGTTCGATATGGGACCCATAGCGACGCAAGTAAATTACATTGTTGGTTTACATAAAATTCAAACACGTGCTGCGCTGTGAGACGACCACCGCCATTTAATCGGAAAGAGTTCTTTTTGTACCCCCCATTCCTAACCCTACCCTCCAGCACTCCCCATTTAATTTAATTGTGTTAGAGTTAGGGTTAACGATCGGGGGTACAAAAAGAACTCTTGCCCTCTTGTTGTGTTTCAATGCTGCAACATTTCTATGCTTGAAGAAATTGTAGTAGAGTTGTTATATCGGGTGTTAAAGCTCGGATAACGTGCGGTCAACGTGAAAGGCGTGATACATAGTATCAGATTTATTTATCAAGTTATTAATAGTGTAAGAATGAATCTAATCGAATTCTTAATCCACATCAAGAAGGGGTTCGCTATCAAAACAGTCATAACAACCACAGGCGCTCGGAACGTTTCCTGGATAATAAAAATTACCTAAAGTGGGATCGGCATAGTTAGTCAGTCGCCGGTACATTCCCCTACTACTCATATAATAACACAAGGTAGGAAAGCGTTGACACCATGACATCGAAACTTCCCGAAAA